CCTAATCCACTCATGAACAAAAACTCATGATTTTTGCATATATAATCGAAAGACGAACAATTAATCCAAGAAATCCAATATCAAAACCTTAGAAATCCAATCTCAATACACCATCTCAGACCTAATCCTTTCCCCTAGCTATGGAGTTTAGCAACTCATTCTATGAAGAACAAAGAAGAAAATTGTAGGAAATTCCATAAAGAACCAAGAATTGGAAAGATGACTCTTCAATCTCTCCTCTTCCTCTTGTTCCTAAGTTGTCTCGTAGCTCCCAGCTCTTTTCCTCCGTTTTCTCTTGAGTTCGCCCTTGCTTCCCCCCTTTCTAATCCTTTTCTTTCCTTCTATTTATATGAAAATTTACTTGACAGCATCTGTGGGCGCCTAGGCGTTGCGATTTGGGCGCTTAGGCTACAGGTCACCAGAGAGCACAGCACGCCATGGGCGCTTAGGCGTTGCGATTTGGGCGCCTAGGCTGCAGGTTGCCTGACAGCAAAATAAAACCAGTTAATTCTGCCTGGGCAGTAGAGATTAGCGCCTGAGCGCTCATAATTCCAGCAAAACATTTAGAAAATGCAATAACATAAACAACTAATGAAGACAAAGAAAAAGACTACTCAAAATAACTTTTCAAAGGGTTTTGGATGTATTTATACTCTGAAAATCTCAATAAATTGATGGAACATCAGGTGCATCACAGGCCACACACTCTCCTCCTGACTCGGTCTCTGACTATTACCTTTGCTAAAGGGTCTAATACTGCACACGCTGTTCGTAGAGTGAGGGGCTATCCGATGACCATCCATAGTGTGAAACTGAGTAAGTCGCTGAGGTTGAAGGCATCAAAAATCTGTAATCACAGTGCTATAGTGAGCGTGGCCAACGTGCGGTGAGTGCACATATGTGTTATATGTGAATTGTTTAATGGTGCAGTGAGCGCACCTTTATGTGAATTGAAATGTATTATTTTATGCCTGTTTCATGCGTGATTTGAATAGTGTTGGAAAAGTGTGTAATGTGTGAGGTGAGTCTTTGTACTTATGTGTGATAATGTAGAGTACTCACCCTTACGTTTATTTTTTAGGTGATCAAAACGATCAGCACCAAACTCAGTGAACAGGGGGGATGAAACTACTATAGGACTATGAAATTATTTTTAAAATTTTTTATGTATTTAAATGAGTGTTGTAGCGTTTATTTTGAAGTAAACTTGTAACTCTCCCTTATTTTGAAATACTTTATCAAAACTATGTATTGGAAATTATTTGAACGAAATTTTACTATTCTCTCTTATTGTAAAATTATTTATTTAAAAAATTAAATTAAGGTGTTTCAAATAATATGTGCTAGAAGATGTTAAACTTTAGGTTACATGATTTTACTAAGACCGAGAATGTAATCTCTAATAATATATTTCTGAACTATATGATTGGTCTGAGTCTGAAAGTGTCTGAGATTCGGCACATTATATTGATTTGTATGGTGTGAAATTAATTGCACGACATTTTATATTTTGAGAGACTAGTATGAGAGATATCAAAATGTGTAGTATTAAATGATATACTATAGTGATTTTGGATCCTTATTTAAAAATTGATGCTTGTTTTAAAAGGCTGAATTCATGTTATGATAAAAGAAAAATATAGAAAGAGAATTGATGTAAATGATTGATGAAGAATGTTTGACTTTCTTTGAAGGATAAAATGTATTTTATTATGTATATGTGAATTAGACTAAGTCTTGACGTGTAAAATCTTAGACATATTTTATTTAATCAAATGATGAAAAAGAAATGAAGAAAAATGCATTATTAGTGAAAAATGATGAAAGGAAATGGACATGAATATTTGAGAAGTATTAAGCAAATATGTGTCATGAAAAATTGACTAAAATATATATGGACAGTTACAGAAATACAACGGAAGTATAAATAATGGAGACGATTAGGAAAATCTAGAAAATATGTAGGGTGGTAAATGACATTCGTGTGCAAGGGCTAATCAGTGACTATTTATACTTATAGAAGACTTCAAGGGATCTCAAGGATAATCATTGTGAATTTGTGAGATGTATAATTATAATATGTGAGTATATTGATTGATGTAATTATAGTACAAGTATTGTAGTATATCGACGGTTGTAGATATAATATATGTAATGTAATACATCGATTAATATGATCATAACGCACGTATTATGACATGCTGATTTATGTAAAAATATATGAAATGACATGATCTTAGTATACTTTTAAAATATTAATGATGTGATTATTATGATATTTAATCTGCTGAAAGTTCTTTAGTATAGTATATGAGCTAGCATTACTTTGGTGTATATTGTATCTAATGATGTTTCTGTATGACTTGTTTCATTTATAAAATAAAGGATTTAGTTAGGCAGTGAATACTCATTCTTATAAATTATTTTTCAGAAAGTGAAATTAAAGAAATAAAAGAAAGTTGATTCGATCTAGAATCATATTCACAATGAGATTGTAAGGAAGAATTATTCTGTTAGGATTTAAATTGATTTTGAAGATTGTAATAATTTTGATTAAATTTTTCATTTAAAGTTGATAAAGATATGTAATCATTTTCATATTATTTATTCTGAATGTATAATAATTTGATAAGTTTTATTGTAATTAATAATTTGAAGTGTATATGTAATATTTGGTAGTTAGTTATTTTAATTGTAGTTTACATTCAGTTTTTGATAGAAATGTACTCTGTTAAAAGGCAGTGTTGTCTATGTTTTAAACTTATATGTATGTGATATGGAGTAAGTAAATTATCAAGATGCAAATTTTTGTTTTTACCATATTTATAAATTTTAAATTTTGAAACTATTTCTTGTAATATTTTTTAATACCTTTGATTTTTTCATAAATTGAATAAAATAAAATGTAAGTTTTACTTTTTATTTAATTCTTTAAGCTATAAATATAAAGAAACACACTTTATTTTCACTTTTTATTATAAATTATTATCTATATTGATTGAGAAATTAAGGATGTTACACCTAAAGCTTTTGATTTTTCAGACAACATAGCCAACTTTTGTGGTTAAAAAATGAATGGTCTTTTATACTATGCAAACATCTTCCACCTTTTCTTCATATCATTTCATTTGGTTTACAACAATCATTATTTTATTATCTAAAATTTGAAATAGGTTCAGATTTTTTTGTAGTCAAAGATTTAAACTTCCTTGGTAAAGTTTGTAGACCTACATTTTTTTTACCTTATCAACCCCTTTAAGGTTGGTCCTTACAATCTCTCAAGCTTTTTTAGAGGTAGTTGCATTAAACACTACGTCAAAGCTTCATTTAAGCCTAGATAGATAAAGGCGTCGTTTGTTGATCTTTGTTCTTTTACTTCATCAAAGCTTCTTTCTCATTTTGTTACAAAATAGACTCATTTTAAAGTTTAACATAGATTTTTTTTCATAATCTTTCAAGCATCTTAAGACCCTATTAAGGCTTTCATGCATTAACATAAATTATCAGTATTTTTTAGTGAGACGTGAAAGTTGAAATATATTTAAGCCATTATTTTTTATCTCTGAACTCTCAATGTGTTTTTCTCAACTCTCAAAATTAAACTCAAGTTCTTGGTACACTTTATTAGAATTGGGAAGAGAATAATGAAAATAATAAGAGAATTTTATTATTTGTCACACAAAATATGTAAGTATTTTCTACTATTTATAACAATGGTATAATGACCATTTCTTTATATCAAATAATTGTCTCATCATGTTACTAAATGTCAAGTCATTACAAACTAAAAGTCATTGCTCTTGTGATTACAAACCAAAATGTCATTGTCCTTATTAAAAAAAATATAATCTTTAACTCACACTAATGCACATTTACTCATAACTTTTCAATTTTGTAACTCATGTACCACTCAATTTTTTACTATTATTTTTAATGTACCTAGCTAAAAAATTTCTCTTCCTTTTCTCTAATCAATATCAACATGTAATCCATCAATGTAGATTGACTACATTTTAGTAGCATGTTGGTATCACGTTAGAAAGTAGATGAATCCATGTTTATTTTAACTCTAGTAGTTATAGTTTGTGCATTGAATCCATGTTTATAGACTTTTTCACGTGTTTCTAAACAAGATGTTTTCTTCTGCATATTTTATAAATGTTTTCCTTTGGAACTTGAGATTTTTCTTCATGTTCTTCCTTGAATCCCCTAGTTAATATGTTTAGTCTCCTTTTTTTATATATAAATGTATTAAAGTAGCTAAGTTGTATTGAGATAACCAATATTTAGTACATTAAAGTATATTATGATGTTGTTTGGATAAACTTATAAATAAGTCTTTATAAGAGAGAAAAAATAATATAAAAAATAAATAAAATTTCTTTCATAAATTAAAAATAATTTGTTTTTTCAAGTTTTAGATAAATTAAATGAGAATAATTTTTAAATAATGAAAAGTATAATCTTTTATATTATTTTTTTTATATAGACTTATTTATTAGTTCCCTCAAACATGACCTATTTTTTTTTAATGTGTTTCCATATGCACGTATTAAAGTAGGTAGGTTGAATATTGAGTACATTAAAATAGATTATTTCTATAACTTCAGTATATTATATTTGTTTTGAATTTGATGATAAAAGCATGGAAATAGAATGAAACAGAACTTAGGCCTTAAATTTTAACCACCAAGCATTTAACGAATCAATAGAGTCTAGAATTTGCTGATCCATGTTAACAGAAATCATGCCACATTAACCAGATATAATAATAGCCTTTGCATAGAACAATTTATTCAAATGCCTCTACACAATCAACAATGATAATTTTATCCTGACATATAGAGTTTTGAATTTCATCCAATGATTCACGACACGACACTTACCCCTTTTGAAAGCTATCTCTAAAATCAAAAAATGATTTTGTCACATTGCATCTAACATATAGAGAATCAAATTTATTATTACTTCTGTATAATTAAATATAGTTATCTAATCTTCTAGAGTCCTTCAGAGTAGGGTATATCTGTCTCCGGAAGCCAAGTATTCCCCAAGGTAAAATTAAGCACAGTAAAGTTCCAAGCTTGAGTAGCATTCAACAGATTATAACCATGCCATTGTACCCTCTTGCTGGTATCAGCACCAGGTCCATAGTTATTGAACTCACCATAAAAAAGGGTGTCTAATCCTACTGTGCCATTCCACTCTAACCATCCATCAGATTGAATTAGCCCTCCAATATATGACTGCATATACACAGTCCTTGAATAAACTTTCCAAGGCCTACCTAAGTAATTTTGAATGGAAGTCAAGTCTTCACCCAAGTCAGGTGCAGCATCAATCCTACAATTTTGTATTGAAATTCCAGTGTTTTGATTTGGATCAGTTCTCCCTTGTGCTGTCACAGCATTCTTTTGGTTTGGCAATGGTTTTCTAGCATATATGTTGCAATTCTGGAACACCACTGCAGCATTGCCAAAAATGAAATCCACAGTGCCATAAATGTCACATTCCCTGTAGAATTGCCTGAGTGAGTGAACATAGAGAGTGTCTTGGTATCCTTCAAAGCTGCAACGGTAGAATGTGGAGAGATCTGCATTGTTCCTCACAGCAACTGCTTGGTGCTTCTGTGGGCCAGCTGTGTTTCTGAATGTAACATCCACTGCAATGAATCTTTCTCCAGAGACAGCTGCATTAAACATATAAATTATAGCACCTCATGATTTGATTCATGGAGAATAATCACTGTGAAAGATAAATCAATGATTAACATAGTGATATAATGAAGGTCTTACGTTATTTTAACAAACAGGTAAATAAAGTCTGTCAAGGAGTGGACGCAAAGAATTGATTTTGTTTTATTTATAGCAGATAAGAAAATTTTGGTTGAAAATTTTCTAATATAGTTAAGAGAAAAGGTTTAATTTTGGTGACTCTTGATGTAACATGAAAATTTGTCGATGTATTGACTTAGTCAATTGCATATAATTGTTTGTCAATATATGCAACAATGTAAATGTTTTTCTAAGGCATGTCTTATTGCATGTACTAAGAAATATTAAATGCAACATGTCAAATACTTTAGAGTATTATAAAAAATTATGCAATGAATTTTTTAATGATTTTGAGATGATAAATATTTTAATTTTAGAAGTAATGTTATTTTTAATTTCTTAACATATGTCTTTAGAAAAACATTAAAAAAATCATAATATAAAATATTGAATAATGCTAGCAGTACAATTTTTTAAAAAAGTGTATTATTATTTTTGTATGTAGACTTTTTTGCCAATGAAAAGAGCTTGAAGAAGAGTTTAATTTCTATTAATACGTATAATGCATAGGGAATAGACAACTGATAAATATGTATGCAAGAAAATTTCATACAATATATCCCTCTTAATGTGAGGGTTAGGTGAGATAACATTCTGTTAAATTATCATTTCTCTATTAAAAATATGTGTTCATATGCTTTGGAAGATAGCATTGCATTGAATACTCAAATTCAAACAAAAAATAGGAATACATATTAACTTACCAAAGGTTGAAGAATTGAAAGTGGTCCAACCATCCATGACACTATGATTTCCTGTGATGCAAGTTTTGTTGATACCATCACCAACAAGCAATATATTCTTCTTTTGATTGGGAACAGTGACATATTCCTCATAGTATCCTTCTCTGGCATAGATAAGAAAATAGCCATCTTCTGGCTTTAGATTATCGGGTGCAGCTGTAATTGCCTCTACAATGGAAGTGAAGTTGTCTGTGCCATCAATGCTCACAGTCACAAACCCCTTCACTAGAATTCCTTCGCTATGGCTTTCTTTAAGAATCCTTTCACTTCTTGTACAATTTGATGATTTGTTGCAACTATACTTTGTGCGAAGAAGCTGTAGCAAAATAATGTTTCAATTATTTTCAGCCTCTCAGTTATACAGTGCATGCCTCTATTTTTTAATTATATGTCTCGAGGGAAAAGAATTTGTGGATAAAAAAATTTAATATAGCCAACAGTAATAAATTATAATTCGTTAAATATAAATTAAATAAAAAAATTAAATTAAGTGTAGATTTATAATAGTGTAAGAATACTTTCTTCTAAATATTTTTTTTTAATTTATTAATTTATCTTTTATCAACAATGTTTTACTCAAACTATCCAAACAGTATAAATATTTTATTTAAACAAATTGGATAAACTTCTTACCAACATGGTTTTACTAATGTATCAAACATGTGCAAATTAAAATTCTTGGTCAATAAGAAATAGCAAAGACTTGAATACTACAAGGTAATATGATGGTTTTTTGTTTTTCTTTTTTCTTTTTTTCATTCTAATCGCAGAATAATTAAGCAATGCAAAGAACCCAGCACGTGACTTATCATCAGGTTGTCAGATTAATATCTCACGGTTCAAAAACAACCTGGTTGACCTGCAACCGACCATCCTTGGATCTGGTTGGCTTGTCTTATTGTTACATTTTGAATCACACTAAATGATCTTCGAAGCTTAAATTACATACATGTTTTTAATTATTATATTTGTGTGAATTTTTATTTTTTTAAGCTTTTTTTATTTTACTTTTTACTTTGTTTAAATTTAACACTTTTAATTCTAAGTAATTCTTAAATAATGATATGACTGACAAAGAAATTAATTACCATTTTTTTTTGTTGAGTTACGTGAATGAATGAAACAAAAATTAAATACTCACAAAAATATAAATATAAAACTAAAATATACAAACAAAATATATTTAAAATTAAATTTATTGTCTGACCTTGAATTCATCTTTCGACACAACCGCCACGTGAAGCATGTTCAAATGGAATTTTATTGTATTTGAGTAAAAATTGTTTCTGTTCTTAAAATTTTACTTGCTAGTCATAAGCACACACATAAATTTATGTATAATAAAAAGTATAGGTCATTATAACATAGATAAAGAGAGGGTTTTATCCTTGATTAAATTTAAACACGTGTAACATTATCTCTGGATATTTTGAAATAAATTAAAAGTTCCATTCGCATGTAAACATAATGAATTTGTATAATATAGCTATACAATATATATCAAGTCATAGAACTGTTCTCCCTCAAGTATATATAGTTAGATACCAAAAAAAAAAAACGAAATTAAGATGTACATGAGACAAATTATGGGAAGAGCTTAATTTAAAGCATTGTATTTTTTTTTAAGTTCTATTTTAATCATGTGGTATCATCATTATAAACAAATTTGTATAGTTATTGCATTAATCAAATCTTTACAGTCACATACATCACAATATACGAAAACGTTTATTTTTTTCACACCTTATGAGGTTACACTTTTACTTTTCGAAAATAGAGAAAAAAAAGATAAAAATAATAATAAACGTGACAGTTGACATATTAGTATATGATGTGTAACAACTAAGGGTGGGAAAATTCAGAGTCAGCAATATTAGTATATGAATTTTAAGTCGCTAAAAAATAATAAATTAAATTTACTAAAATTATCATATATTAATAATAAATTATTTGTTTATAAAACATAAAATTGTTAATTTAAACGTTAGTTACAAACCTATATAATTAATTAACCTAACCTGATACATGTTATATTATTAGACAAATTTATTGGTATAAAATTTGATAAATATTATTAAAATATTAAGTATTACTATACTATTAATATAACTCTATAATATTATACTTACATTTACATTTTTATTTGTAAATAAGTTATATTAACAGACACAGTTTTAAACAATTATATTTTGCATCTATCAACGAGTGACAACCTTTTTTTGTGAATGATGATCACGATGAAAGTTGTCAGCAAAGCATAATAGTAATCAACATGAAACAAAAAATAAATGTAAAAAGGTAAAAAAGAAAGAAGGATGATAAAAAAAAAAAAAAACTAAAATTGAAATAAACCAACACACATTCTCACAACACAAAAATTTGAGCTGAAGCTCAGAGACAAAGAAATTAGTTACCTTAATGAGTTTTTCAAGTGGCTGCCTGACCTTGTAATCCTTGGTGGGAAGACCATGTTTGCGGGTCTTATGTTTCTCAAGGTTTTTATTCAAAGCCTGCGTGACCAAACCAAGTGACACACTGTAAAGTTGTGTGACATTGTTTAGAGGCACCGCAAGAGCATTGGCAATGTTGCTCTTTGTCAACACCAATCCATCATAACAAGTGTAGTGGTTAGTGGCCACAGCACTCAGATAGGTTTCAATATTTTCCACCAACTCAGTGTTCGATGAGTCAGCAGATTTCAGCTCTTCTGAAACTGTGTCCAAGTAGTACACGTTAAGCTTGTTGAGCTCACTGCAGTCTTCTAGTGCTGCAAACTCAGCATTGTTGAGAGAAGGGGAAGAAGAGTGGTGTTTATTAAGGAATTTATCAAACACTTTGTCTAGTTTCTTGGCTTCTTTGAGGCTTTGTTTGATAGAGAATTTTCCCAAGTGGTAGGGATCAGAAGGAGATGAACGTATGGATGAGAGAATGGAACGGCATAGTTTTGGATATAATGTGGATTTGCATGCTGAAGAGGATGAAGGAGGAGATGGAGCTTGAGCTATGAGTAATGGTAGAAGGAGAAAGAGAGAGAGAAGGAATAAGGGAAAGAAGGACATTGATGGGGTTGCCATGTTGAAGGGTTAAAAATGAAGCTTCAGGTTTTGCTTGGAGATCGATGTGATGTTTAATTTGGATTGTGTGTTGGTCTTGGAATCGCAGGGATTTATATATAGGCACATGGAGATTGAGTCAAAGCAACCAAAAATGGAAGTGGGGAGTGTTTAAGAAGTTTAAATATGTTGTTAGAATTTATTTTGAAGAGCTTATAAGATAAAAACAATTTATGATTTTTTTCTTTATTTAAAAAATTATTAAAATAAGTTATTTTTAGTTTATCCTAATTATAAATTTTATTAATGAAAATTTATGACATAATTATTTTCTAAAAAATTATTGAGTATTTAACTAAGCCGTGTGTCTAAACGTATTTTTAATTTCTTTAAATATTGATAAATTTAGTTTTTATTTTATTGAAATTTTAAAAAGATTTCAAACAATTCTTGTTAAATAATATATACCTAATTATTTAATGTCAATAATATTTTAAAAATATGTGGTATAACATATTTATTAATCAATTTATATTATAATATTAATGTGTGATGACTAAGGATACTTTTAAAATTTATGAAAATTAAAACTAAAAAAAAAAAAAAATGTTATGAAGAGAATAAGAGAGTGTGGGTGCATGGGAGTGTCGGTTTGAGCATGCAAAAAGGGCGAGAATTAATGCATTGTAGACGGTGGGAACGTGGCTTCGAACCAAATCTAAGGTAATTTCTACGGAGTATCGTGCGGATTGGTATTTTTGTAATAATTTATTTTTTTAAATACTGTTTTGTCACTTGTGAATCACTCGAAATTGTTACAGTTTTGTTCAACTTAACAAGTTTGGTCAAACCAACTATCTTCATTTATAAAATAAATTAAGTCTATTTAAAAAAAATTATTAACATTAATTTTATTTATTAAACAACAAATTATTAATATAAATATTCTAGGTCCATACCTTCAATTTTATACATTATACTAACATGAAATATATTAATAATATATGTTTATTTTTTATATTAAAAAAATTATTATTCTGATGTATAATGTTAATTTAAATATGCAATGCCTATATAATAGTAGTTTAAATGTTGTTAAATAAAAATATAGTAATAAATACCAATATAACTTCTCTCCATTCAATACCAAAAATGAAACACTAATATAATAGATAGAGGGCCTTCTACAAAGTATTTTAGCTGGTTAAAAGTTTATTTTGTAATTTGAAAATCTTTTATAATGATACTGAATAAAAATAATGAAAGTAAGGTTAGAAAGACAAATAAAGAATATTAATTTATACCGATTTATCCTTAAATTTGTGTTTGGATGGGAGATTTTAAATTTTTAGAAAATATGAAAATAATAATGAGAGATGTTTAAAGTGTGAGTGAAGTATATAAAAAATTATGAATGATAAATATAAAAAGTTAAGAATAATTGAGAAGATTTTAGATTGTCTCTAAAAACAAAACCATTTGATATTTGTTTTATTTAACATAAAATTTGTCTAATTAAAATTTTATAATACTTTAAAATTATTTTTTTTACTCTCTAAATACATAAATTGTATTAATTTTAAAATTTATTATCCGAAGACAACCTAAAACAATACATTATGACTAATCCATGACTTCAACTAAGATTTATACTATTTCAGGCGAATATCTTTCTATTCAGAAAAGAAAGTGAAATGAATGTTTTTGCATCATCATAAGTTCTTTTTATTAAATAGATGATGTATGTTAGAGCAGACAAAACATTTTATAATAATTATCAACGTTGATATACTTCGAAGACAAATATTTATTAGAGATATGAGAATGTTCAAAATCATTGTAAAATTAGTAAAAGCAATATTGTGAACACCAAACAACAAGTATAGGTATAAGTATTATGAGCTAAAAATAGAAGATATATCAAACATTTCATCTCAGATAATTTGTTTTTATTTATTAAAATTTAATCGTTTAGTCGTTTGGAATTTCCTACTCATAAGTGTTTTTCTATTTTCAATTTTCAACTACTAGCTAAAAGTAAACTTACTATTTTGTTATTAGTTTTAAGTAATGTTTTCTTACCCATTCAATTTTTTAAACTATACTTTCTTTACTTTTATTATATTTAAAATAAAGGAAATATCTCACAAATAATAAAAAATAATAATAATTATATGTTACAATATTTATTATTTCTAAAAATAATAAATTGTTAATGTCTTGAGAAGAATTTAACAAAGTCAATAATTTTATTTTTTATGATAAAATATTCATAAATAAGAGTTAAATTAAAAATTTATTAATTTTAAATTTTTGTCTATTTAGTTATGATGTCCTTACTCATCATTTTACCAGTTAGTTTAAGAACTAATTTTACCAAATACTTTCAATTCAGTTAACTAAATTTTCAAGTTTTAACTCAGCCTTTGTCCATTAGTTTTGTCTAACACATCTAAAATTATTAATAATCATTCAAAAACATCGATGACAATGTACAATATTACTTGAAATAAAATTAAAATGAATTTTTAATAACAGATATAAAAAATAAATAAATAATATATATAATTATTGAAATTTTAAGAATTGGACTAGAAAAAGTTATTACAGTAACAAAATAAAATTGCTCTAAATGAATATATATTATTAATGTACTCTTTTATTGCATTTGGCCACTAATAATATCTTCTTCCACGTCTAAATTACAAAGAAGCTTCGTAAATTCACATGCCCTCACTCCATGCATGAATCATGATCACTATTAATATTGCTCATTTTGAAATATCACTTCCCAATGTCAAAGCTTAAAGTAATATTTATGATTATAAAAAGAGTCCTATTAAATCATGTTTTTCTATTCTTTTATATTTAGTTTTCTTATTCTTACATATTTCGTTTATATTTTTCTACTCGAGAATATTTTCACATCGTAAAATTCAAGTACAAAGACTTTATATTAAATAGATTAGCTCCATACATGTAAATGTAGTTAAATCTAACACAATTTCACTAATCATATACGCGAATTTGCATGCATATATCTATTTACATTACTTTAATATTCGTACACATTTTATAAATAGCATTATAATTTCACAAACCGCGTTTGCCAACTAAGTCATATGCTAAAAGTGCTTTTCATGGCTAAATTGTTTTGGAAGGTTTTAGAGCAGTAAACTGAGAAGAGGCTTAGCAAACCCATGTGCCCATAACTCATATGCTTATTGATTAATTAAGTTCAATGATCCCAAAAGGGAACTCCTAATTGTTAATTAGTCATGCTTTCAAATTTTCTTTCTTCAGTATATTTTGGCTGCTTCCCAAATTGTTTATTTCAATATATACTCTCATAATTCTACGCCATTGTTGATTACAAAAGTATGTGATAAGATGAGTCTTCTAATAGAAGAAGAATGAATCAAATATATTTTCAATTTTTATAAATATAGTTATGTTTAAGTTTAGTTTTCTAATATTTTTATTGATTTTAATTTTTTTTAAATTTCCTATTTTAAATAGCCCTTTTCACCACTTAATAATAAGAAACATTATTAGCTTTAAAATCAATGGGGTTAGTAACTTAGCATGGCATGTTTGAGTCAACGTGGTCAACGTTACTTTGCCAGTTGGCCGACAATAGAATATATCGTTCGAGTTCATATATTATTAGGTTTTTATTTATTTATTTTGGTCAACTTTTTTTTTTTTTTTTTTGGCTTAGTGCCTACCCTTACGCATGTTACAAGTTGCATGAACTAGCATGGTTGCTCGTATTTTATTTATTTATTTATCGATTTGTTTAGTCTTATAATATTAATTTTAAACATTTTACTCAATTAACTTATATTAAATACTTAGATTAATTATGATTATAATTATTTAATAATATTATGATTATGAAAAGTTTAATTTCTTTTCAAGTGAATAAGAGTATGTTTTTTAAATAATTTTCTATTTTTAAAAATATAATATAATTTTATATTTTATTTTATTCTTAAAAAACCGAAAACTATTGTTAAAAAGTGAAACAAATATGTTCTAAGTTTTTTGTTTTGTAATAAAAAACTTTTGGGATATAAAGCTCTTTTAAATAGTTGGAATCACTACCAGGAAAAAATTGATTATTAGCGATTGATTTAGTAGCTAATGATTATTATAACAAAAAGAAACTAAAAAAATCATGACTAAATTAGCTATTATTTATTTTGGTAATAACAAAAATAATAATTCAGTCATTAATTTGATTGTTAAATAATTTGTATTTAAATTATTAAATTTAAAATTTTTAAGTTTTTATTAGACCAGATTTAGTAATTGCATAAAGATAAATTAAGTAAGTTTAGTAATATCAAATAAAGACAAATAAATATTTTAATGGCTGGATTAATAATAAATTATTTGATCGAAAAAAAATAAATAAGAATTATGGTTGCTAATTTGAAGGTTGAAAAATTTTAGCTACCAACTTTGAAATTACTACTGTGTTTATTTCTTTATTTGAGATGACCGATTTGATCCATTGCTAAATGATTTTTATATAAACTAGTAAATTTTTGTGCATGATTATTATTATAATTAATTAGTAACACGTGCAAGTATTTTTGTTACAAAATAAATATATACAATATATAATAAAACTATTTGAATCATTAATTTTCTCTAAAATATATTTTAATTTAATTCTATAAAAACAAATTGTTTATATCAAAATATAAAGATTTAATAAAATTATAATAATTTTCAAATATAATTTATTTTAAATAATAAAAATTATATATTAGGTATTATAAATTTTATATAAATAAAAATATTTACATAAAATTTAAAATTTATAAAAAGTAATAAGAAAAAATTTATAAATATAAATATAGTGATTCACATAAAATCTAAAAATTTATATAAAGTAATTAAATTAACAACTTGTATCTCTAAAATTTATAATAATATTAATTAAAAATATAAATAAAAATATATATGACAAATCGTGAAAGAGAATAATTTCACTAAATATTTTATCATTC